GCCAACCTTCGAGAGCCACCGGGCAGCTTCCGAAGTCGTGGCGAAGACCTCCGAACGCTCCAGGAGACCGCCCGAAGGCCTCCAGGAAGCGCAGGGGCCCGCGGAGAGCTCCAGGCAGCCTCCAGAGGCCCCCAGCCGCCGAAGGCCCTCATGTGGGGCTTCGCGGCCTCGAGGGTCTCGCGGGCCCTGCCCCAAGCAAACTTTTTTTTTTGATCTGCAGGGCGAGAACGAACCTCTTCCGCTGAAAGCTAAGCGGGACGCGCACAGCTTTTATTAGCAGGGAACGGGCGGAAGAAGGCGGGGCCTCACGCGGCCGGGAGAGGGCGAAGCCCAGGAATCAGGCGGTGCCGAAGTTGACGTGCAGGAAAAGGTACACCTTGGACAGGAGCCCGGTGGTGAAGCCCCGGGAGGAAGAAAGCCGGTGGTGGTGCCGTCAGCGGCGCTTGAAGCCCTTGAAGCCTTCCGCCAGACCCGATATCCTTGGCCCCTTCGGTTTTGGGGGGGATGGTGGTGAGGTGAGGCGCGATGCCTTTGCTTTTTTCTTCTGGCGTGAAGTTGTTTCTGGTTGGTGTACCGCCATGCACGTAGCAACATCCACGGCCTCACGGGCGCCTGCCCTTGGGGAGCGACCCCATGCCTGCCTCGCCTGAAAGCCAGATCGCCAGCAGCACGTGTAGGCTGCGTCCCGCGGCTCCCAAAAAGCCTCCCTGGGAGTGGACCCGCCCACGCTGGAGTAGTAGACCCACCCATAACTATTAGAAATGGTACCACCCAGCCAGCTCCCGACAGCACCACGGGCTGCCCGAGCACTGGGTGAGCCCGCCCGGGGTGGGGTCTGCCGTATATCAAGGGAGGACAAACCACCCCGACCCCGACGATTGGCGTTTACTCAGCGGCCATGGGCGTTTACGAGACAGCCCTGTCCTCTTCGACTTCTTCCATGGGTGCGTTTACTAGGCGGCTTCGCTTGCCGGAGTGCTTATGCTGGGGGTGGATGTTCTGATCTATGGTGTACGACTCTGGTATGGATGTGCAGCACCTCTCAGGCCTCACCGCGGGAACTCCGAAACTGAGGGCAGGCCACTCACTCCACGTCGATGCTGTTGTCGCTTCAAGACTCCAGGATAGTCGCACCGCTCTGGATCGTGACTCCCAAGGCCGCAGCAGCCTGGGCGTAGGAGCACTTTGCGGCCTCCTGGTCTGCAGGGTGGGCCTTTCGCGGCTCCTCGAGCGTCACGACGAAGTCAGCCTGGCGCTGCTCAAGGTCCTCCCCTTGCAGCGCGTTCATGTCGATGTCGTCGCTGTCGACTGGGATGTCAGCTCCACTGGTGATTGGCGTAGCTGTCCCTCCAAGAGTTTTACCGCTGGCGCTAGCAGGAGGAGGAGGAACAGCAGGAGGAGGGGCCGCCTTGGCCTGCCCTGCTTCCAACTGAAGCCGCTGTAGGACTGCGATCGCGTGCTTGTCCGTCTACGACTCGACGGCGGCGGCGTCGAGGCTGGCAGGGGCCGCCTCGAGTGGGCCACCGAGCTCGGCCGCCCGGAGCTCGACCAGCAGCTCCTCAGCCTCGCCCAGCTCTGCATTGACTGCCGCCATGCTGATCTTGACGCCTCCGAGCTCGACCTCAGTCTCCATCCTCTCTGCAGCTCCAGCGCTGCGGCCCTCGACTCCATCTTGCCAAGGTCGGTGCGAAAGCTCTCCGCCGTCCACCGCGCCTTGCGTGCACTCGGAGCTTTGATCTCGACCACAACAGCTTTCTTCTTCGCCTCCTCGACTGCAGCGATGGGCGATGCCTCGACCCCATTGGAACTTCAGGACGCCGAGCACGCCCTTCTGCGTCGGCCCAGAGGCCGCCGCCGACTTGCCACCGCTCGCTTTTTCAGCTCACGGAGATTTGCCACCTGTGCCACTCGAGCTGCCTTTGGGGCCGTCCGGGCCATCCGAGACAGTGAGCTTCGCGATCTTGGCCTCCAGGGACTTGCTGCTCCTGAGCAAGTTCTCGCCTGAGTTGGGTGCCCCTTGCGCCCACTTGTCACGAGGTTCACGCTGACCACCTTGCCTGGGCCCCGCCACAGCCTTGGCCGCATCCTTGGCAGCATGGACAATGCTTTGCGGTGCCGACGCGCCACACTGGCGGCACGACACGCGCGACGCCCAGTTGCCATCGCAGCCAAAGCTGCAGCTGCAGTGAGGAAGGTGCGGCCCTGGCAGCACCCTCTGGCAGGGGACCCATGCGCAGCGGCTGGTTGCGGTGCGGAAGCAAGGATCGATCTCTCTCACACAGAACGGCCCGCGAGCACGAGCCGCTCTGAAGCACGTGCTCGCAAGCTCAGGCCCCCAACCGACAGTGCGCCAGGAGGAGGCGGTGTTCTTCGCCCTGCGGCGCCGCGGGCGCTCCCGCGGCGGAGGAGGCGAGGGCAGGAGCGCCAGACAAGGGCGGAGGGGCGAGGGGTAGGAGGGGGAGGAGGAGGAGGAGGAGGAGGAGGAGGAGGAGGAGGAGGAGGAGGAGGAGGAGGAGGAGGAGGAGGAGGAGGAGGAGGAGGAGAGGAGGAGAGGAGGAGGAGGAGGAGGAGGAGGAGGAGGAGGAGGAGGAGGAGGAGGAGGGGGAGGCAGAGAGAGGAGGAGGAGGAGGGAGGAGGGAGGGAGGAGAGGGGGGGGAGGATGGAGGATGGAGGAGGAGGGTGGGAGGGAGGAGGAGGAGGGAGGAGGAGGACGAGGGGGGGGGAGGAGGAGGACGAGGAGGATGGCCGGGGCGCGGAGGCCGAGGACGAGGGGAGGGGGCCAGCAGGGATGAGCAGCGGGAGGGGGCACGCGGGGAGGGAGCGGCGGCCAAAGGACCAGCAGGCCGCCTTCACCCCCCCCCGCCGCCTCGGCCCACGGCACCTGAGGCCAACGGGGCCTGCCGCGCCCGCGGCGCGCAGGCGCCCCCCGCCTGGGGCTGCCCCGATCGCTTGTCGTCGTCGTCGTCGTCGTCGTCGTCGTCGTCGTCGTCGTTACTCGTCACTCGTCGCCACGTGTCGTCATCGCCACTCGTCGCAGCCGCCGCCGTTGCCGTCGCCACTCTCCGTCGTTATCGTCGTCGTCGTCGTCGTAATCGTCGTCGTCGTCGTCGTCGTCGTCGTCGTCGTCGTCGTCGTCGTCGTCGTCATCGCCGTGGTCGTCTTTGTCGTCGTCTTTGTCATCGTCTTTGTCGTCGTCGTCGTCGTCGTCGTCGTCGTCGTCGTCGTCGTCGTCGTCGCCTGTCGTCGTCGTCGTCGTCGTCGTCGTCGTCGTCGTCGTCGTCGTCGTCGCCTGTCGTCGCCTGTCGTTGCTGTCGTCGTCGTCGTCGTCGTCGTCGTCATCGTCGTCGTCTATGGTTGTCGTTGTCCTCCTCCTCCTCCTCCTCCTCCTCCCCATTATGCCTCCCCCAGTCGGTTCTTCTCCCTTTTTTCTCGCAGGAGCGAAAAGAGAACGGACACGTACATCAATCCACGTTGGTTTGGAGGGTACGCATTGCGCGAACGTTCGTATCACGCGGCTGGTCTCGCGGACTGGGGGGCCGTGTTCATGTACATGGTTGGCTACGTACGTCCTTTGTGGGTTCCCCTATACTCCCTGCCACTCCTCGAGTACAGGACGCTCACGGGAAGAAAGACGATAAGGTTGATAAGGAGACTTAGGGCCAGCCAAAAAATGACATGATGACAAACGCACACACGCACATTTTTGCGTCGGCGGCTAGGCAGAGTGACTGCGCTGGCGAATGGGGCAAGTGTAGGGCATACACTTGCTAATTGAGCTGCAATGCGCGAGAGGGAGAGAGGGAAGGCCCGGCGCGGGCGGGAGGGAGACGGAAGCCGGGCCCGCTCAGAGCGGGGCCGGGCCGCGGCGGGCACACACACACACACACACACGCACACGCATGCGGTGCTTCTAGCGAGTAAGGGGATCGACGTGGCCGGTGGGGTGGGTGGGGCGGGAAGCGTCATGGATACGTACACGAAGGTGTGACGATTTGCTCGAGAGGGCTAGCTGTTTCAGCAAAGGTGAACCTTCGGCCCCTTGCCCCGATTCATAAGCAGAAGGGACAAAGTGCAAAACACACTGCTGGTAGCCCAAACGCAGAACTAGCGAAGGGTAGAGGGGAGGGGACACGCATGCAACAACTGACCCTTCTGATTGCGGTATGTTGTCATGCTTGTAGAGCACAAAGGGCACCAAAACGGCATTCGGGGTGTCCCGGGAAAGGCCAACAGGGTCTCGCGAGCTCTAGTGCGAATGGTACACCGCTCACGAAGATCTTCCCCCATAGAAAGCCCAAACAGCTCTCACAGAGATGGCCCCATAGGAAGCGCTGTTTACGGCTCCATCGGGTGTATAGCAGATTTTGCCCAAGAGGGAGCTCCACCTACGGCTTCAGTGGGCGTCCTTGCATACGGTGCGCCGCCCAGTTCGGCACACCTCATACAGATCGTGGCCCACTCCCCCCCCCTTCCCCACTCCCGCTTCCCCGAGATGCTGCGCGACTTGCAGACGCGAGTCCCTCCGCCAGCTCTTGACCCAGACCTCCGGGCTGCTCGAACAAGTCGCGGCAGAGTTCCCCCCGCCCCCCGTCGTCTCCCCCCCTTCTCTCCCGCCCCGTTCGGGCGCCCCCCTCCCAAACTAGCGCTCGTCGTCGCCGTCGTCGTCGTCGTCGTCGTCGTCGTCGTCGTCGTCGCCCGCCCGGTTCGTCGCGAGCTCCTCTCCGCGCCCGCGCGACCCGCCGCCCCCCCGTCGCCCTCCCGGCTCCCAGCGGTCGCGGCCGGCCCGCCCCCCTCTCAGCGAGCGGGGGGCCGCGGCCGCCGCGGCCCCGCGTCCGGCGCGCGCGCGCGCGTTTCGAGGGCTGCCGTGGCGGCCGCCGTCCGCCGGCCGCCGCGAGGCCCCCTGCTGCGCGGGGGGCCGCCGCGCGGAGGCCCGCTCGCCGCGGAGGCCGCTCGCTGCGGCGCGGGGCGCGCCGCCCGCTGCGGGCGAGGGCGGTGCCCACATGGCGGGCGCCGGGCCGCCGGAGGCCCGCGGGCGGGGCGGCCCCCGCGGCTTCCTGCCAACCGACGAGTTGTCAGGCAGCCTTCCTTGCATTGTTATGTTGAGATTGATTGCGCACGGAGGCTAAGAAACGAAGATGCCACCCATGTCGTGCAGCAGCGAGGGGGGGGGCACACACATCAGGAAGTGCCGCCAAGCAGACCGCCATTCGTTTGCAAGTGCAGTGGTCGCTGCCTCGCCCGCACGCGTGGCTTACTCAATGACAGGCGTCGCGCGAGAGAGCAGAGCAGAGCTGCACATGGTCAGCTCTCTGTGAACCCACTTGCTATAGACGTCCGGCGTCGGCGGCGGGTGTGGGGGCGAGCGGCGGCAGTGGGGGCGAACATCGGCCACGCGCAAAGGGTGGTACAGGAGAGGGGGAAGGCTCCTTGGAAGCACCCCTGCTCATTAGAAGGCGCGGGCCTGCTCTGTAGATGTAAGATGTAAGGCCGGCGCCTTTTGAGAAGCAGTGTCCTTCTAAGAAGTCAGCCCCCCTTCCCCTGCCCCCTTCTGTGCGCCCCCAAGACCAGGGAAAGGAGGGGAACTCATCCCAGCGGGACTCCTGGAGTGCAAGCCCAGAGCCTATCACCCATCGGCGGCGCGATCCGCACCCTGCCCCCGCCTCCCGTCGGTTCAGGAGAAGCGATGGTTGGTGGGGATAGTCAAGGGAGGGAAAACCGCACCGACCCTGACAATTGGCGTTTACTAAACGGCCCTGGGAGTTTACTAAACAGCCCTGCCCTGTTCGATTCCTTCCATTGGTGCGTTCACTAAACGGCTTCGGTTGTCGGGGTGCTTATTCTGGGGGGTGGATTTTCTGCTCTCTAGATAGAGTTCGGATGTCGCCACCTGGAGTGTAAGCCCGAGCCCTATCACTCAGCTCAGGCTCCTGGGAAAATGCGTCCCACATTCAGCAGGGTGGGGGAGCCCTGAGCGGCCTGTTCGGATATTCTGCTGGGGGTGGGGGAGGGAGGAAGATGGGATGAGGGGCAAGATGGGTGTCTTCGTCGAAGAGAAAGACGCCATAAACATACACTTTTGGCGCTCCGCGCTGGTTTCTTGGATTTGGCGGAGCGCCGTCATTTTATGTGTATTGTGTTTGTTCTTCTTCTTCTTCGGGGGTAGAGGGGGAGGACGAGAGGGGGAGACGACAAGCTAGGAGTGCTCGCGCCATATCTGACATCCTACCTCTCCCTCCCATCCCTTCCCATAGCGCTGATCTTATGTCTATCCGCGGACGCGTGTCATAGCGGACCTGGAGCGCTCACAAAGACACCATCGTGTTATGCGCAATCGGAGAAGGGGAGTCACGTATATAGGAGAAGGGAGGGGAGCAGGAGGAGGAGGAGGAGGAGGAGGAGGAGGAGGAGGAGGAGGAGGAGGAGGAGGAGGAGGAGGAGGAGGAGGAGAAGGGAGGAGGACGACGATGAAGAGGAGGAGGAGGAGGAGGAGGAGGAGGAGGAGGAGGAGGAGGAGGAGGAGGCGGATGAGGAGCAGGAGGATGAGTGGAAGGAAACGATGCGGATGATGAAAATGAAGAGGAGGACGAGGACGAATAGCAGCAGCGGGAACTGGAGAGGAAGGAGCGAGAGGAGCAGGAGAACCAGGAGAAGGCGTAGGAGGGGAACGGAAGGGGGCGACAGCGATGAGGAAGGACTCGGATCCAGAACAGTGACCCGCTCGGGGGCGAGAGCGCCATTACATTCTAAACTATGGGAGCAAAGCGCCAATCCTGAGATGAGGTCAGCGGTGCAGCGGCAGCACATTTTGAAGACACCTGAAGCGATCCGATTGACAACAACAGGAACGACTAACTTTTGAACTCCGGGGTGAAAAGGAGTACGCGGAGGGGGCGGGCTATTCCCAGGCCGTTTTCGGGGGAGAGCGGAGAGTAGTATTCATATGGAGTATTTGCGAACGGGGGGGGGATGGGAAGGGAGGGAGGGGGGCGGAGAAGGTGGGGGGAGGAAGTGGGGTCTCCTCCTCCCTCCGCCCTCCTGCACATATTGGCGGTTCGACTTCACGTGCGATTGGCATGGGTTCAGAGTCTCTAGGTGGCTCGAGGGTCGTTTTCATTTCTGCCCCGACTTGGGATCCACATGCTGGACTTTTCGAGTCCACCTACATCTAAAGTCGGCAGGATAATCAACACACTATGTTATCTCCGTTTCCAGATCTGGGGTATATAGGGCTCTACCTTCAGCGCATGCCTATGTCCCAAACGCACTAGCGAGAAGTATCGATTTAGTTTTTCGATGTGGCTCGATGGACCCTTTGACGACCCTTCTTGCGCGCATCTTCCCAAGAGCTTACTCTCACAAGCAGAACTCGCAGCAGCATCATCGTAGCGCGGGGCGGGCAGCTTCGCAGCGCACCACAAAGCCCGAGCGAGCCGCGCTTTCGCCAGCATCAGGGCTCTCCTCGCAACGGTCTGACAGGTGGGAGGTTCGGGCCGCACGAAAGGGCGGGGATAGGGAGAAGGGGGGAGGGCGCCGCGGCTGCTTTCCTTGGTGCATTGGCGCCTCCAGTGTCGGGAGGCGCCTGGGAAACCAGCCGCGCGCGAGCTGATCTGCTACACATGCTCCGCCATGTCCCCTCCGTCGAGGGCGCCGACGACGCTCTCGGCCACAGCTCCAGATTCTATCCGTGCGGCGTGGTGCTGCAAGCTCGGACTGAGTCCGCACAGCGAACCAGCACGCCTGTGCAAGCGCCGCGCCACGGCGGCAGACAGATCTTCGGTCTCCTTTTGCTTCGTTCGGCTGTTCGGTCGCCCGCCTCTTCAAGGGCGTGTCGCCACCCTCCTCCTCGTGCCCTCCATGATGGACGACGAACGACGGACGGCGGACGGCGGACGGCGGACGATGGACGGACGACGGACGGCGGAGGACGGACGACCGACGACGGACGGACACGGCCGACGACGAGACGACGACGACGACAACGGACGACGGCGACGACAACGACGACGACGGCCACGACGACGACGACCGCTACGATGACGATGATGACGACGACGACGACGAGGACGAGACGACGACGACGACGCCGACGACGACAACGGACGGCGACGACGACGATGACGACGCCGACGACGACGACACTGGACGGCGACGACGACGACGCCGGACGGACGGACGGACGGACGGACGGACGGACGGCGACGACGGACGACGACGACGGACGACGACGACGACGACGACGACGACGACGACGACGGCGGCGGCGGCGGCGACGAGGCTGCGATCGGCCGCTGGGCCAGCCCCGCCCCCCCCGTGGGCCCGGGCGGTGGCGCCTGCCGAGCGGCGCGGCAGGAGGCGTGGCCGCCAACGTCATCCGTCATCCGTCCGTCGTCAGTCGTCCGTCGTCCGTTCGTCGTCCGTCGCTGTTCGTCCGTCGTGCGTCGTCCGTCGCCGTGCGTCCGTCGTCCGGCGTCCGTAGCCCGTCGTCGTTCGTCCGTTGTCGTCTGTCCGTCGTCCGTCGTCCGTCGTCCATCCTCCATCGTCAATCGTCCGTCGTCCGTCGTCCGTCGTCCGTAGTCCGTAGTCCGTAGTCCGTCGTCCGTCGTCTTTATCGCCGTCGTTCGTCGTCTTTGTTGTCTTTGTCATCTATGTCGTCTTTGTTGTCTTTGTCGTCTTTGTCGTCCGTCGTTATCTGTTCTTCGTCGTCAACGTCGCCCGTCATCCGTGTTGTGTCAGTCGTCCGTCGTCCGTTCGTCGTCCGTCGTCGGTAGTCCGTCGTCGTTCGTCCGTCGTCGTTCGTCCGTCGTCCGGCGTCCATAGTCCGTCGTCGTTCGTCCGTTGTCTTCCGTCCGTCGTCCATCGTCCGTCGTCCGTCGTTTGTCGTCAGTCCTCGTTCCTTTGTCGTCCGTCGTCCGTCGTCCATCCTCCATCGTCAAATCGTCCGTCGTCCGGCGTCCGTCGTCCGTAGTCTGTAGTCCGTACTCCGTCGTCCGTTGTTTTTTGTAGTCGTCGTCGTCGTTATCGCCGTCGTTGGTCGTCTTTGTCGTCTTTGTCGTCTTTGTCGTCTTTGTTGTCTTTGTCGTCTTTGTCGTGTTTGTCGTCGTGGTCGTCGTCGCCGTGGTCGTGGTCGTCGTCGTCGTCGTCGTCGTCGTCGTCGTCGTCGTCGTCCGTCGTCCGTAGTCTGTCGTCCGTCTTCCGTCGTCCGTAGTCGGTCGTCATTCGTCCGACGTTCGTTGTCCGTCGTCTGTGTCCGTCCGTCGTCGTTCGTCCATCGTCCGTTGTCCGTCGTCCGTTGACCGTCGTCTTTCTTCGTTTTTCGTCGTCGCCGTCGTCGCCGTCGTCGTCGTCGTCGTCGTCGTCGTCGCCGTCGTCTGTCGTCCGTCGTCTGTCGTCCGTCGTCCGTCGTCCTTCGTCCGCCGTCCTTCGTCCGTAGTCGCTCGTCGTTCGTCCGTCGTCCTTCGTCCTTCGTCCGTCGTTCGTCGTCCGTCGTCCGTCGTCCGTCGTGTGTAGTCTGTCGTTGTCCGCCGTCCGTCGTCTTTGTTCTCTATGTCGTCGTCGGCGTGGTCGTTGTGGATGTCGTTATCGTCGTCGTCCTCGTCGTCGTCGTCGTCGTCGTCGTCGTCGTCGTCAATATCCGGCATCCGTAGTCCGCAGTCCGTTGTCCGTTGTCGTCGTCGTTTGTTCGTCGTCCGTTGTCCATCGTCGTTCCTCCGTAGTCCGTTTTCAGTCGTCCGTCGTCCATCGTCTTCCGTCCGTAGTCCTTCGTCCGTCGTTCGTCGTCGTCGTCGTCATCGTCGTTCGTCCTGTGTCTTTCTTTCGTCGTCCGTCGTCCGTCGTCCGTAGTCGGTCGTCATTCGTCTGGCGTTCGTTGTCCGTCGTCCGTGTCTGTTCGTCGTCGTTCGTCCGTCGTCCGTTGTCCGTTGTCCGTTGTCCGTCGTCCGTCGTCCGTCGTCCGTCGTCTGTCGTCGTTTTTCGTCGTCGTCGCCGTCGTCGTCGTCGTCGT